ACACACTTATGAAAACAACAGTGACACTAGCATTTCCATGTTTATAACAGCCTTTCAGTGGATATTATCCACTTTTCAGTAGATAATGCATTAAACCACTTTTAGCTGTCCTATCACAAGAGTTGGTGTGAATAATGCTATTAAGATGGTACAGATGGTCTCTATTGTCAGATAGAGAAAGACTACACAAAGAACAACATTGCTTTTGCAAAATACAATTGTTACAATTGTTTGGAAAGTTTGTCAAACCAATGAGTTTCTTTGTCAAGGTAAAATAGTGTAGGAAGTAAAAGGTAGTTATGTAGTTATGTAGTAAAATTAGAGTAATAAGAAGTCAAAGTGATGATTTAAAGTACAGGGATGAAATTATTTATCTCTTTGTTTTATGGATTTTTGCGGCTCATGTTATTTGCTTTGGAGAAGAGGAAGATGTCTTACTTTTCTTTGCTATGGATGTTCTGAGAGTCTTTGAGAGATCAATAACTGATTAGATGGGCTGAGATGGAAGACATCCCAAAGTCTATGACACTATGGTAACCTGTGATCTTGTGATTTTCAGGGGTACAACCATTTGCATCAAGTGATATCAGATGGTAAAGTAATCCTGACAGTCTGGAAGGTAGTTCTGATTCTTGTTCATGGTAGTGACTGTCAGCAATCAAGTACTGCATATGAATGTGAAAGTTTGAGCAACATCATACATGGTTTGATGATGGCCACATCTCTATGGTCCCTTATCCCTCATACCAAAATCAGAGGCTATCAAAGAGCAAGATGTATTTACCTGTTAGTGAATGATTAAATTAGTGTCTATCAGCTGAGATCAGCTGAGGCTGATTAAAGGCTGTCTTCATAGCCTGTGGCAAATAGAAATGTGTTCACTGAAACAACCAAAAAAGTTCATTTCATTAGCGTGATGCCTGTGGGCAATCTACTTATTTCCCTAAGATATGGCTTTAGAAAATATTTTTAGATTTTAACAGATTCTGCTTCTACTTATTTTCAATGCCTTTGATATTATGCTCTAACAGAGAGCCTTAAAACCAAAATTTCTTGTACAAGATGGGGCATCAGGAAGGTATAACAACTTACTTTTTAAAGAGAGTATCATATCAGCTGAAAAGTGAAAGGTTAGGTTACTGAGGTGAGCAGTACTAAAGATCCTTCAGGAAGCTGGTGAATCACAATGTGACTTGCTTGGCTTTGCTGGCATGGGTGTCCTTCCTACTTGTCAAAGACCATGTGGTTCAAAGGGAGAAAGCATCTCATCCTTTGCTATATGGTTTTTATAGATACAGATGTTTAAATTTTCCTCTCCCTTATGAAGCCAAGATTTTTCCTAGTGTGCCATGGGGAAAATGGAAGTTTATTTACTCATTTGAAGCAGGCCTCAGCTGTCTGTCTTAACTCTGTCTGCTCTAAGAGTTACCTGCACTCACAGATGCTCATTGTGATAAACCTCTGGAAATGAAAACATAGGAAAAATATTAAGTATTAAATATATGTCAGCATCTTGTCTCATCCTGTCATACAGAAGCGAGAGTAATTTGATATAGGGTTTGAATATTTGGAGAAAGCCATACTAAATCATGGTAAGTTATACATATAGTGCATCAGGGTTACATGATCTGTTAAAAGTAAAGTCTGGCTTGAACCCGTTTCATATAAATTGTTCATCCATTGGGCAATAACTTATCAAAAATAAGTTTTATCAGTCAGCATCAAGAAGAGCAGAGTGGAAGATGTGCTACTGTAGCTGTGAGGTACACATGAAATCCATTTTTTGGAAATGGTGTGTGTAAGAGACCTTTTGCTCCTATCAACCACTACAACAATAGCAAAAACAAAACTAAGGGAACTTACAGCTGGGAGCTACCTAAATGGAAATTATGAAAAGTTCAGTTTCATTGTGTAACATTTGATTTGTTTCTTGTGTATCTTTTCATCCAACTTCTAGCTTATGAAATTACTTGGGTTTTCTTTTGGTGGTTTGATTTCTTCTGCTTTTGGTTGTTTGGGTTTTTTTTGATTTTTTTTTGGTTATTTGCTAGGACAATTGAATGGAAATCCAGCTAGACAGACAATGAATTTTTTTTATATCTTTCTCCATCTCCCCTTCCTGGAAGAAAGGGCTCATGTTGTTAATTAGTGGTCTTGTACAGACAACAAAGAAAGATTTAAAGTGTATTAACAAGTCTTTTACTTCTGTAGCTTCTATGGCTTCCCAAAAATGCCTCTTACTCCCTCTTTTAGAAGAGCATTGCTCCAATGTATCTGTTCATTCAGTGTTCCGTTTATATGAAGTTATTAATATAATTCAATCCTATAATGACAATGATTCTTTTGTACTTTGCAAAACTATTTGCATCCAATCAAAACAGAGCAGTACTTAGTAATTACTGACATTGGTAAGAGAATTGAATCATCACAGACCATCTCAAGTCTGTCTTTCATCTTGAAGATCAGATGGCTCTCTGTTTTAAGTGCAGTTCCATAGCCTGATGCTCTCATACAGAATAAAAGACCTTGATTTTTCAACTGCATTTAGTGAAGGCTTAGATAAGTTTCTTCTCATATTCTTCTTCAGTAATCCCTTGCTTTCTCAAAATCGCTTTGAAATCTCAAAAAACATAGATTGAGAATCAATACATAAAAGCCATGGTGACTGAGTAGTTACCTAAACCCAAAGCTAAGTCTGACTGGAAAATTATAATAGCCAACTGCTTATCTCTATAATTAGGAAATTATTTGCTAAATTTCTTACTATAATAACAATTATTCAAACTGCCATTAATCTTTAAATCCTGAATCCAGAAACTAGAAGTAAAGGTAAATTGCTGTGCAAGATCGGAAAAATTACTTCACTTTGTGCTTCTTTTAAGTGAATTTTAACAGAAGAAAACTTCAAAAGTTATTTTTCTGATAGGTCTCATTAATTCAGTTTCAAATCTCTGTGATCCTGAAGCTATGTTGTTCAAGCTTTATTGGGTTTATCTACTACCAAATTGTCAGTTCATTTAGCCCCACATCTGCAGTAGTTTTACACTTAGACCATTGCTGTGGAAAATTAATATTCTCTTATAATTTGAATTTAAATAGTGGTATGTGTTGTTTGCAGACACAAAGAATATCTATTAGAAGAATATCTAATTCACACAGGAAAAAGGATGATTCTCCACAAATTGGTCCATATGTGGAGAAATATTAGACTCTTAGAATTTCTTGTAGCTGATTAGGTTTTCAAATTAACTTGATTTAATTATTTTAAGAGAAGTATCATATAATGCAAAGAAGCAGATGTACTGAATGTATACTGGCTGTACATTAGGGACTTAGGGGCTTTACTCTTAGGGACTTCTAAGAGTACTCAGGTGCCAAAACATGGTAAGGGCAGAATCGAGCTCATAGTCCTGCCCTTCCTGTTTCCTGCCCAAAGCTGAAGAAGATAGATGAAATTTCATGGGAAATTCCCTGTTCATTGTGCATTTTATTGTGTACAATAATGATTTAATCCAATATTGGGAAAGTTAGTTGTGTTTTTTAACACCTTTGGAACTGAGTTTCACATGTGCCTTAGAATTCCAGTAGTCAAGTAGCTAGCCAGATGTGTATATTTTGCGATGCCTGCCATTCAGATAAATTTAGTTGAACCTGAGCTGTGAAAAGGATTTCCAACTCAGTTAAAATCTGCTATAGAATCAATCTTGTGTTACCTTAAAGTGTTTGATAGACAAATGAGTCAAGCAATGTTTATGAAGCTGCATAACGGGTGGCAACAAAATTCAATGAACTTCTTGTAGCAGGTAGAGGGAATCTCTCATTGTATGATGAGGGCTACATCAGCTGTAAGAACAAGTAATAGTAATTGCAGGAAAAATATTTGTTGATATAAACTTTTTTTCTTTCTACATTTTTAATCCTTTAATTTGGGCATTGTAAGCAGCAATGCATTCAACAGCTTTACATCCATCTGGAATTCATTTGGTGATAGCGGTTTCAATGGTGCTATGATAAAATCTTTTGGTGGTCTTATGCTATTAATAACACTACTACATTTGAGAAAATGGATATTTTTATTCAGACTCTAAAACAGCTCCAAAACATCCTGTATGTGGGAAAAAATGGTGATACTTAATTTATTCCTCTCTGCATTATTTTTTTTATATCTTTGTTAATTTCTATCATTGGAGCAGGGTTTTGTTGTATTATTGATGTGGGAATACAGTGAAAAGTAGGTGTTTTTAAAATAAACTGTTTTTATTAATAAGGATATAATTTATTATTTAGTGTATTGACATAAAATTACATTCTCCTTTTGATTCAGTAGGTTCATGTATGGTGCATATGGGTGCATGTAGGTGCAAAAGAAAACAGTTTGAAGTCTACACTGTTTGAGTTTTGTTAGTTTTTGCGTTACATAATCTTAATTTCACAACAGAAATTCTCACAGGCTAAGAACACAAAGACCATATTGTATTTAAGCAGACTGTCGTATCCTCATTGCAGTCATGAGTCTGTGGAAGCAATGTAAGCCTTTGTGCTTTAAGGAAAAGCTCAAGCAACAGGCCTCATCACTGCAAGCACCACTATTGCCTGATCCAGTGTGTCTTTCTGGTCATTGCCTGAGAAGAAGTTACCTCTGCTTTACTCATTGTGAAATATTATATTTGGGGGATGGAGGGAAAGGGAATGAAAACGTACCCTTGTAAATGTGTTTGCAATTTCAGAATTTAACTGAAAGACTCTCTTGTTATTATTCAGTGATCTACATGTTCTTCTTATTAAGATCATTGCATTTTCACAATTTTTCTGCATAAAAAATTGTGCAGGCTGCAGGTAGAGTGTTTGTTCAATAATGCATATAATTCATATAGAACATCAAGGAAATGACCTTTAAAGAATGAAGTAAAGCATTAGTTTAGTAGTTAGTAGAGGGCATTAAAAGATTGTGAAATACTTGCAAAACAAATTATTAAAACTTTTCTTTAATTTCTTTATAGATTCTGGACAACCAGGAAGTCCAAGCCACAATGATCCTGCCAAGAATCCACCAGGTAAATATAAGTTCCAGAACATGTGCATCTAACATTATTTGAGAACAATGATACTACTGATAATAACTAAAGAGAGTTTAAATGGTATGCAATCTATCTTGCACTGGTAAGTATAATCAGGATAAATTGTGACTCTTTAGTTCCTCTAAACTAGCAGTGCCTTAATTGCTGTTTTGTCAACATCAATTTTATCTAAGGAGTGTTTATTTTATCTCACCATTTTTAGAATTTTCTAAGTGGGGATGGGTAAGGAAGTGGGAGCAACGAAACAAGATCCCAAATAACTTTATCTTTATTAAAGTCTTCCAATGCTACCAGTTTTCTTTAATCTCAGGCAAAAGAAAATTGACCCATGTTTAAACTCTGTGACAGCTACCAGCTTTTTTACTTTTCATTTTTACTTTATAAATTAAAAATGTGTTAATTTGAAATAATTTTTTTGCATCAGCTCAGAGCAGTCTTTGAACGTGTTAATGCATCATGGCTAGTGACACTTGATATTCATTTGAGAGGGATATTAGTGTAAATGTTCCTTTCAAGGATTCTTTTATAATAAAAACACAAGAGAAAATCAAACCCAAGCTTTGCCATTCCAGTCTGTTTAGACAAAAGGTTTATTGAATTTTCATGAGACTATCCTTCTAATCAATTGGGTACTAGGCAATCTTGTAAACCTTTGCCATGTTATGAATTTTATCAGACTAAGACAAACAGTTGTGACAGACACACTATCACTTTGTAATGACCAAGGAGTGACACTACCCACTATCATAACATCATATCTTCTCATTTTAGCTCTCAGAAAATGTGTGTATCTGAAACAAGCTGGAACTTTGATCTTATGATTCAGAAACTATCTATATTCTGACCAGGACATAATTTTGTGTTGCTGGGCTGTTAACATATACATGGATATTTTCTAGATCTGTTACAACATTAGGATAAACAGTCTGCTTTGTGGTTGTACAGTTTTGTAGTAGGCATATCATCAAAGTATTCTCTATTTGTGAAATATGTCATGTCTATTGTGTGTAAACATCAAAAAGTGGGAGAACCATCAAAGATTGTGATACAAAAAGTCATATTCCTGTAATATATACCCCAGCTACATATACTTGAGGACAGCAGATGTATTTTACAGGTAAGAGGGCAGACAAGTCAAATAAAATCATTCTAAGCTCTAATGCAAGTGTTTTTTTATTTTTTTCCTTAAAGGGATCATGCAGGCTTATTATCAGTTTTGACTGGAGACTTTAATGCTGTTTCTTTCCAAACTGTGTGGAATTTTGAGAATGAAATTTTATTTTTCTATTAAATACATGCCTACATTATGTAGAATAGCAAATAAGCATTTGCTCCCAAAGGAGCAAATTTTCTCATAAATAAATACGAAAAATTTCTCTATGGATAATTACTGTTTTTGAAATTTAGACCATTTAACCATAGAAAATTTATTTGCTTTTAGAACATCCCTGTAAGTGGAAGAAAAGCCAAATTCATTACCTTACCCCTTGTAATTTTGAAGGATTTTTTTGCAGCTTCTGGGTTTGGGAAACTGAATGCAGGGTCAACTCTCTTTCAACATGTTTTAAAATTCTGCTTTTGAAGTACCATTTAGCATTAGGAGAAGAGAGGTAGCAGTATGTATTTTACTATTGAGGATCACACCCTGTAGTGAGTCCAGTCTTAACTCCAGTAAGGAGTAATCTTGCTGCCAGTAACAGAGCCTTGGGAAGGCAGCAGACAAGCTGCATAGGCTTTCTTGTGGTCAGACTTGTAGGTCAAGATGTAATGTTTGACAAACTTCACTGTTTCAGAAGGTGAAGTGACATAGAAAACATAAATCTGAAACATCATGAAACTTTCTGCTTTAAATATGAGCATAACACTTTCTCGTGATTTGGAGTCACTGAAGCCAGTATTATCCCTTTGTCTACAGCCAAGCTGGGACAGAAAATAGAAGCTGTGCCTTGGTTCCCTTGAAACCCTTCATTTAAGCAGAGACAGGAGGATAATTGAATGCCATCCCTTGGAGGATGACCTTCTAGCTTTGTTCAGCTTCCCTGTGTAATACTGCTTTGGAGTTAAACTGGCAAGGTCAAAGTGCTGTGGTTTGTGGGACAGCAGAGTACAGGACTTCTGGAGCTGTGCAGGAGAATGAGAAGGAATTGCATGCCATTCAGCTTCTCTGGAAAAAGCACTACTGTCCTATTCTTACTAAACTTACAGTTCTTACTATTAGAGCCAGACAGTTACTTCTGTCAGAAGCCTGGGGCATATCCACTCTCAGTTCCAGGTCAGGAGTATGTGGACTGGTAGTGCCAGGAGGGTTGTTCTTCTGTCATGTTTTGTTCTAGTGCCTGTATGTCAAGGAGCCAGGATGTTGGCAGGAAATGTTGCTGTTAGCTTTTGGATGCCACCACTTTCACAAAGATACAGCCAAAGAAGAGGATGCTGGAAACTGAGTGGTAGCTGGCAAAGCTGCTGGTGTTAAGAGTGGTTTTTTTCTAGGTTTGGCGAGACTGTTGCATTCTTCAGGGTGTCTGGTAATTTGCTGTCCTAACAACAAGTTGGAGAGAGGGTAGAGTCACTTGCCAAGCAAAAGAATATGAAGAGCATTTGTTGAAATTCTTTACAATATGTTCCTAAAAATACATTGAATATTTTGATAGCCCAGTGCAGTGATAAGACCTGTGATATAGCTTGTGGTGAAAGTGGTATGTAGCTTTCATAGCTACATCCAGGAGTATCCTCCTCTGAGTTTTATTTTTCAATAACTTTGAATTATATATTTTATAAAATATATTTTAAAATATATATTTGTATTAGCATATTTTTATGAAGGTTGAATCTTGTTTTTCAGAGGGCTGGGTTATAAATTTTGCTTCTCTACAAGTACTATTAAATAAGTTCCAGAGAGACAGATGAGCAAAATTGAACTGAGAGAGGAGAAAAATCTGAACACTACTATTGTCTGCATCAGCCTTCAAGTTCCTGATATTTAAGTTTGTTCTGTGCTAGCACAGTCCTAACTATTAAAAGTTTACATTATTTAAAAGACAGACTGGACGTGACAAAGGCCCCGGTGAGGGTCTGAACAGATAGAGACACACCTGATTAGAAGTTTGAAAATACCCATATTTTTGCAGACAAAAAACAAACATCAGCAAGCCACCAAAACCCAAATGCAACTGAAGTAGTTTAGGTGTATCTTGCTTCTTTGTGCTCATAATGTTCTGAGCTACAGCTGAAGCAGTCTGTCAAAGGTAACCTAGTGTGGCAGTTTCAGTCTAATGCTGCATTATTATTTGCTCTCTGCAAGTTCCATAGGTCTTTTATACAGTTTAAGAAAATCTAAAAAATAAGTCTTCACAAGTGCATCTGGAAATATATGCAGTGGTGTGGCAGGATATGTACTGAAGACAGATGTCATCTTTCAGTAAATTAATCTCTTAAGCATAAGAAAATTATGAGGATGAGAAAAAAAGAGAAAAATATGTAGAACTGTAATTAAGCTAATGATATTGACCCCAACCATAACAATGTGGTCTTCAAAGATGCAGTCCTTACTAGCCAGTTCTTGTAGGTGAGAATTTTCTAGATTTTGCTTTGTTATTCTTTCCCTTTCTGCCTGTTGCCCACAACAACTTGATATTAATAAGGCTTCTTGCTATTTGCCATTGGTTTGAGGTTGCTGCTTGGCAGATTTCATTTATACATCCATGTTAACACAACTGTGTCCACTTGTAGCTGTGTTGCTCAAATCTTTGAAGACAGACTTTTTAAGCAACTAAAACAAGGGTAAGAAATAGCAATATTGATGAACACTGTCTGGATAGGGCAGTGACGGGATTAATTTTGCTGTAAGCTTGCAACCAGTCTCTCTTTTAATGAATGCCTTCTAGATGTTGGAGCCATTTTTGTCCAGCAATGGGGAATACAAAAGATAGCTTTTCAGAAAGTGCAAAGGTAATCCAGTATCCTGACGCAGACAGGTATGAACATCTTTGGTGGGGGAAGTTGCGTGAATTCATATTTTTCCTTTTATCCAAGAAGATTAATTCAGAGGTTACTAGAACTATGTTTCCTAATAAGTGGCAAACACTAGATTTTTTTATTTGTTTGGATTTTTTTTTTCTTGATGGAATTTGTTCAATTTTAGGTGGTTTAAAAAATATTTTCACGTAATTTTTATGACTCCCTGAGATCAGTCAGGATGCAGAGAACTCAGGATTGAGCTTGTTTGCTAATAAATATTAAATTATTTATATGGGGTAACACTTCTGGATAAGGAGCTAGACAAACTATCTGCCTGTTTGCCTTTCATTACACCCCATTTGTTTCCTTCTTTCCTTCACAATAACTCAGGATATGTTAGGGAATTTGTCTAGAGATAAAATTCTTAATCTGAATAAAGCATAGGTAGTTGAAACCCCAGTCCCAGCCTCATTGTTCTGGAATAATTTTTACTCTTCTCTTTTCCCCAGAAATTTTATTTTAGGAACCACTTCCAAAGAAGACCTGAGTGAAATCATAAAGTTTGTTTTGTTTTGTTTTCAATTAAAGAAGGGGTTATCAAAAAGCGTGCAAGGAGCCTCACCTGTCTCTCAATATGCAAATCTCTCTTCCAGCCATAGAGCCCCAAAGTCTTTCCTTGCACTTTCATATGGCCTAGCAGCCATTGGGAGAATATTTTTTTTAATCAAGCCCTTAGAAGTGTGTAAATTTGCCTGTATATTTCTGTTTCAGATAGAAATATTTCTGTTTTAAGTTTTAGAATGTATACTTCCAGAAAAAAACTCTGAAGAGAAATGTGGTCTCAACCTTTGCACCCTCTTGGAAAGGCAAGAGACAAATGTCTTTGAGTTTTGAATGTCTCAGACCACAGATTGTTTCATTATTTTACTCTATTGCAAGTTACCCTCTTGTGGGTGGAGAATTAGCCCCCCAATTAATCAGAATAGAAGAGATATTCCCTGGCCTCATCACTGTAAGCAGCT